TGTTTCGCAAAAATCCCTTACACGGGAGGTCTGTTAGGCGGGGGGCCACTGTATCTGCAAAATTGTGTGCCACAAGGAGTAAAAAAAGGGGGATGAAAAAAAAATCATTAGAAGAGTTAAAGTCAGGAAAAATCCCAATTTTTTTCAGCATCCCTGCAGAAAAATTTTCAACAAAAACAGAAAAAAATTAATTTTGGGTGGCTTTTTTTTCCACATTCCTGCAGTAGGATTAGAATTGGAGGATTATCAGAACCATGGCTTTCTTTTTTTTGGGATTTTGGTGACCTTTGGTCAAACCAAAACGCAGAAGCCTGCAAAAAGAATCCTTGCACATGCCGTATGATGCAAAAGAAACCTGCTGCAACCCAAGGGTTGAAGGTGTCAGGAAAAAATTGAACTCAAAAGAATCCATGCAGTAATTCTGCCTATTTCAGAAAGGGGCCAAACAAAATTAACACTTTATCTCTTGATGCATTTCTTGTGAGCCTGATGAGAACCAAACCCAGGTTTGGTTCCCAGGCTCACCCACAGACAATTTCCTCAAAGGGAAGAACAAAAGTGGCCAAGTCCAGCCTTCAATCCTAATCCAAAAAATCATAATGGTTGATCAAGAAGATCAGTTTTGTCACTCTGCGTTGGGCTGCTGACCTGATCAGATCTCCTGAGAACTTGTTCAAGTGCAAAAATCACCAATTCCAAAATCGGTCTCTAAATTTGTTGCCTTTTGCACAAAGCACTCTTGATTGTCTCTCTTTGTTTGCCATATTTTCATGACAATATATCATCTTAAACCAGGACAAAAGTCCGGGAGTTTTGGTTGTACCTTGTGAATGCTGAAAAGCGGCAAATAAAGTTTTCTGTTTGTTCATTCAAAAGTCCTGGCTGCAGCCCAGCTGATTGAATTGAGTTTCTCCAATAAGAAACACATTTGAAAGTCCTTTCAACTCTTGTCAATTCATTTATCAAGAATAAAGAGCTGCTAGCTCAGAATCAAAAACTACCCTTTTGAACTTCAGATTCCTTTTTGCCTTTTGTGTGATTGAGAAAAATCTTTCTGGTTCGTTTCCTCACAAAAGGCTTTCAAGCAAAATAATTTTGAGCCTGCAAAAATATTATGAAACTTTGCCAGTCTGCAGATAAGTTTTGAAAATTTGCCAGTCCTCAAAATACTTTTGGAAATTTGCTGGTCTGAGGGCCCAAAAAGCTGGGCAAACACTGAGTCTACTAAATGATTAAATGCTTGGCAGCCCAAATCCATTATACAAAAAGCTCTACCACACGTTTAATCCTTATTTGTCCAGCAGTCAACTTCGGTACTTTTACAATGGCATGCAAAATTCTCTTCTTTTTTTATTGGTCAAACAGATCCGTCCAGTGGATCTAATCATCTATCTCGAAGCCCCAGACGAGATCCTCATGGAAAGACTCATAAATCGTGGTCTGACATCCGGACGACTGGACGACAATGAAACAAGCATCAACAAACGACTCATCACTTTCCACGAACACACCGAACCCATCGAAACAGCGTACAAAAGGCGTGTGCACAAGGTACCCATATAGAACCCAGATTCATCACCCACACAGCAAACATTATGAATAAAACACTGATTTCATCATCAACAGATTGATTGCAGCGGACATTCCGACACGGTTTTCGCAAACATTTCCAGCCTCGTCGCAGGAATCATGTACAGCTAAAGAAGAATTCTCATCGATATCAAGGGATAAATAATGAGACAATTGTCGATAATTAATGTTTTAATTGATTGCAAATGTTTTTTTTTAAATGCCACTTTCGAGACACCTGTGAAAGCAAAGCCGAAGTATTACTCAAGAAAATTCGCCGAAAGAAAATACAAACTTCCACACAAAAAAAAGGGGGATGAAAGCTTCTATCATTCGCTTATTATTTCAGTGATATCATTATTTAAATACGGCTCAAAAATCTTACATTTTTATTCCAAGACATTTGTGTGAAATTAAAGGTATTTTTGGGTGCAATTCTTGGTGGAACCCAATAATCTTAAGAACTATTTCCTTGTACTTCAAAGCTCCCAATAAGGTTCCATAATTTAAATATAATTCTGAAAAATCGAATTAACCTTCTTACTGAACTTCAAGATACTGAAAATTAACTGTTAGAATCCCATCTTTTGGCATCATGAATGAGCTCAAGAAGGAAAAAACAAAGACAAGTCTAGCTACAGTATATTGTATACACTTGATGGAAGAAGTTGAAAATCTGAAGAAAGAAGCAAAATTCAGCCATTTTTATTACGAGAATCACAGTGATTTTTTAATCGGATTTTTTAAAAGTAAAAATCCAAATCATACCTCAGGTATAGCTAATTCACAAAAAACAAAAAGTTGAGAGTCCTTATCTTCCAAACAAGGACAAAACTGAGGATGACGGGAATAAATCGCAACGAAAGCAAAAACTAGTCAAAGTTATAATTTTGTTTCCTTTCATGATCACATGAAATGATTTTTCATACTTATAAACTTCAAAAAATTAATAGAAAGAAACAAATGAGAATAAAAGGTCCAGTCGCGTGAATCTGGATACTTTTGAAAATCTGATTTCATGAAAAACGAAAAGAATGCTTTTCAAGTATTTCTTCTTCGTATAAATTTCAATTGTGAATGAATGAAAACTCATTAAAATTTATTTTTAAATGACATCCGCGGCTTTTATTGGCATAGATTTTGAATGGAGATGAGATGATCAAAACAATAATGCGGCATATCTTATTTTTATAATCAAAGAAGTGTCTTTCATTGAATTTTTCTCGACTTCAAATTTTTTTTTACAATTCACTGATATTCTCTAAGAAGAAACAAATTTCTGGCTTTTCTTTCCAATCTTTCCTCTTGTGTGAATTCTTCTTCAATAAGCTTGTCATCAACGGTCGAATGCACCAAACCTTATTTTTTTTTACAATTCACTGATATTCTCTAAGAAGAAACAAATTTCTGGCTTTTCTTTCCAATCTTTCCTCTTGTGTGAATTCTTCTTCAATAAGCTTGTCATCAACGGTCGAATGCACCAAACCTTCACCGAAATCAATCACAAATTCTAGAGATTCCTTGAATTCCTGCACCTGTCTTTTGATCATCCTGGCTAACCTGAAAAAAGGAATTTTTTTTTCAATACAAAAAATTTTACACTTCAATTACGCAAAGTTTGAGGAATAAATTTTAATTTTCACTACGTTTTCGGTGGGTGATCGCCTGCGGGACTTCCAGTTCGCAAAAGTTCTTGTACCAAAGGATGAGTGGCACCCGTGGTACAAGTCTCATTAATTTCTGCAAAATTCACCAGACTTTTCTGCACAATTTCTGCAAATCTCATGATACTGCAATTCGACGACTTATTGACAAATTTTTTCGTTTCCGGACATGCGTGGAGCCCCTTCAAGTGTTGTGGACACGGCTTTTTACACGGATCTTGACTGCTTTCTTGTGTTTCTGGGGAACGAAAAATTGAATCACAATAAATAACATTTTGAAAATTCTTTTTAGCATTCCAACAACCCGACGAAAGAACTTTCATCTTTTTTTCTAGTGGTGTCCTACATTTTTAAAGTGATTAATAAAGGAAACGTCTTTCAACTTAAATGGAGTTACAGTATTTATTAATTTGGATTCACGTAAGAAGATAATTCATTGCCTTTCAAATCAAAAAAATTAAACTCCCAAAAATTATTAGTTCATCAAGTTTATGTAAATAGGTGATTCTATATAAAGCCCGAAAACAATTACTGGTTTTGATGTGCACCTATAGAAGAAGACCTACTGATATATGCGAACTCTTTTGAAAGATTATGGGAGTTTTAATAAATACTTCAAATTTAAGTAAAATAAACTATGGAATACTATAAAATATGCCTATCATTTTTTCTGAAAATGCAGCGCTGAAGTGCAGATAATTTTGGAAGTCTGAAAGTTCAGAACAAACCTGTTCAAATAAATTAAGCTTTTTTACCTTCGTCTGCAGAAAATATACTCGAAAAACTGTTGGCGAATTATGGAGAGAGAAAAATACCAGCCTCATTTTCAGTTTATGACTTTTGTAACACCCATTTTTAATTGCTTTATTGGATGAAGAATATTCAGTCTCTTCATCTACGAAAATCGAAATGATTGTATTCTTAATCGAAGATCAACATACCTTCTACAGAAAGATCAACAAAGGACTCAAATTTTTCGGTGATGTAGTCGAAAATTGGCCCAAATGTCATTTGGAAAATGTTGCGGAAGCAAACAAGGACAGGAGTGTCTTTGCCGATGACCAAGTCCATGGCTTTCTTCTCCTTTGTTTCAGACTCTCCTCTTCCTAAATGTATGGTACATTGTTTCAACAGTCCACAATCGTCCTTAGGAAGTGGCTTATGTGTGTCTTCTTCCGGCATTTCATCTGAGCAATGGTCGTGGAACAAGAAGTATCGAAACGGGGAAAGAATCGCTGCCGTTACGCTCCAGAAGAGATCCTCGAAACACGCAGCTTTGCTGTATTCAGTGACCGGTTCACAGCGTTCGATTGGTTTTTCATCAGGTACGGCACGAAGTTTAGCGATTTGCCTCCGAATGAAATGTTCGTCGTCGCAACCACCTCCTCTTTGTCTTGGACACCGTAGTCTTCAAAAAGAAAAGCCAAAAATGGAACCAAAAAGTATAGAGCATCGCAAATACATCAAGCAAATATTTTCAAAAAGACCGAACTTCACGAGGGGGTACCGCACATAATTTTGGGGGGTAGCGACATCTGTGATGAACGCTTGAAGTAATCTTTCTTTTTCGCTTTTTCCATCGGCAAGAAAAAGCTCTTGACATCTGACCCGCAGCGAAATCCATCACCAAAAACTGATGCTGACTGTGTACATTAATACGTTACCTTGTTACGTAGCATATTAAAAAAGGAATAAAGCTCACAAACTTTCTGAAAATATGTTTTTCAATTCACTGAAAAGGCTTTTAGTGCACTCTAGTAAATTGCCGTTTCGCACAGCACCGGCGACGCGCGCGTGTTATCTAGTTTTGCGACATCTATAGGATAACTTTCAATCAGTCAAAATTGATGAGGCATAAAACCTGTAGGTGTCAGTACAATGCATCCAGAATTATATTAATGGTGTCGTTCGTGCGAGACACGACGTCGGATGAATAGGCTCCGCTAATTCTTCTCAGCATTCATTGGGATCGCTTCCGAAAATTATTACGCATGGATGTGATGAAACTGTAGTATAACTTCATGTGTTGTACCTTGATCCGAATCTATATTTCCCAGCTTCTTCCTCAACTTCCTCGTCGTTCTCCTCGCAAAACGCTTCTTCGTCTTCGCCGAAGGGACTCCGCAACTTCATGGGTGTTGTGCGATGAGGAACCGGCAAAGGTGAGCATATCCCGCATTCTTTGGTCGTTTCTTCCTCAACCTCTCGCTTTTCGAGGGCGATTTTCCTCTCAGCAGGCGTTTCCTGCTCTCCAGTCAACAGTGCCAAAAGGTCTCGAGTATTTTCCTGCTCGTTGGAATGCCAAGTCGTTTCGTTCAAGAAAGATTTACTGATGGGGCGAAGGGAAAAAACAAATGCGTAATAGGCGTTCTTGACTCTGGAACAAGAGTTCATGTGGTGAAATAAGGGCAATCAACAACAAACAAAAAAACCAGGGAAAATAGGTCACGATAGTTTTTCTTGTTCGTGCATAGGTAGAGAATATTTGAAAAGAATCGAGATTTTCAAAAAGTTAACGTTTATAAATGCATTGCGGCTTTATCTAACGTACGAGTATAATACAGTACTCTTAATCGCATGCAAACTACTGTATTTTAACACCAAATTCCGGAGCAGATCAGCATCAAGAGAAAATATGTATCCTCGCTTTTCATGAATATTCAAGAATGGAAATAGAATTGATGCAGAAAGAAAACAAAAATAGAATTAGTTTTCGCGATAGGAAAGGAAAAGCAAGATTCAGTTTTACATTTTTATACAATTTAACTCCCCTTCATTTCAAATCGGGCTGGGATCATATTCATTTTAAAATTTAAATAGGCATGGGGGTTGACTATCAGCTGATTTTGGCACAAACGAAGATCCTTACGAATTCCAGGAATCCACAGACTAAAACCGGGGAAAATTTTTTTATTCTCACTAGTTTTTCTTTGAAGGTTGGCTTTGAATCACTTAAAATATCACCAAGTGATTGAATTGGGTGCATGAAAACTTTTAAACATTATTCCGAAAACAAAATCAAAGTGAAACCAAGAACACAGAATTCCCCCAGAAAAAAATGTTTAAACGAAAACGCACCAGAACGTCTGATATGACACATCCAATTTCCAATGCCCTTTTGCCGAAGTCTCCCAGAACTTTCCTTCCTTGCTCTTCAATTTTTCGGGTCCTCAAAGCCGTGGATATGGTCCTATGAAACGCAGTTTGTTCACAAACATGCACTTCTTGAGCCCTAAATAATTGATGATCGATCAAAGCAGTGATTTCAGCTTGTTTATGCAGTTTCTGGAGGAGCTTTTGCTGCCGCTGCTCGAGCGATTTATACTCGCCCGTGATTCCTCTCTCTTTCGCATCGTCCTACAGAAGACGAGGAAAATCAATGCATACGAAATTATATATATATATATATTCTTTAAATTAAATGCAGATGAATATAATCCCCACGAACAAACGTTGTTCAGGATGTTGGTCTTGATGCTGCCAACGTATGATTCGTTCAGTTGCCCGAGTTCGATGTCCATTTGTCTGATGTGTTCTCGAAGCACGGAAGGTTTCACCATATCCGCAATGTCCTAAATAACGATAAGAATCCGAGTTTTGAATTTTTCTTTCCACCCCCGTGCACATGAAGCGTTTAAATCTCGATAAAGTGCCCATGAATGACGAAGGCGATGGATAGTTTTAAAAGTCGTTAAAAATTATTCGAGCCTCGGAGAACTCACAGAGTAATATTTCACATCTGGGTCGAGATCGCGTTCAATGAGTTCAACCACGGCTGACGTGGGGCACCTGGATATTTCACATCAGTCGGGCGGGAAAAGAAATTGGAAATTGTACAAGAGGAAAAATGAGATATGATTGCTTACAAACAAGATAGTCGTTTGTAGAAAGAATGCCAGGACTCGGTGGCCAGACAGATTTCGGCGAGGATCATGTTTCTCGCGTGTGCAACGAGGTTCCAGTCGTACTTTCCCAGCTTGCCGCCGTTCAAGAGATCGATCACTTGTCTCGGAGTGGGGTCCCAGTTGTTCATCACGACTGCTTTCACTTCTGCTTTCAGCTCTTCAAGCTCCTGCGGATCAATTTCAAAAAAAAAAACGAGCTTGATTAGACGGGTCATTAAGACTGGCGTGCTGAGGAAAAGGTCATTGGACTCAGGCTGCTGCTAATGATGGATTTTCAGTACATAAGGCAGGGCGATAAAAGGTGCAACTTTGAATGGATTATGGGATGGCATTCTATTTTTAGGATTCATTATTGGTCACAACACCTCAAAAGAGTTCAAAAGCAGAAGACGTTTTGCCACAATATATCATAATCCTACATTTTTGAAAATTGTAATGTCAACTCTGGACAAATGGTTTGTCTGCTGAATCAGAAGAATTGAAATGTTTTGAATAATTCTGTACATTCAACCTCACACAACAGACTTAATTTTTGCAACAGGCTAGTCTGTTATGCAAATTTGATTATCCTATATGTTTACACTTATGCAAAACAAGCAAGATCACAACCAACATAACTAAAAAATCACAACACACTCATATTCACAGCATTAATAATGACATTTTCTTTTAAAGTTAATTTGTGAAGGAGGAGGATGTGAGGGATGTTGAAAATAAAAAATAAGGGGGGTTTAGAAACAACAGATTTACTACATTTAGCAGAAGATGCTGATCCTTGATGAATCTTGTGGGACCAGAGTTGACCTTGAGTTCCCACAAACTTCCTCCCAAAATTTGTTCCATCATTCTAAAAAATCTATTCTTGGTGAATCCTTGAACACCAAGGAGCCTTTCTTTGCATTCTTTTCTTCATTGAAATAATCTTCCTGTTTGCTGAAAACCAGCAGAAAAATCAATCAAGTTTGGATCATCGAATTGTGCAGACCTTGCAAAGAGTCAAGTTTTTTTGTTGCGTTTGCTATCTTGACTCAAGTTGAAACTTCATCAGCTGTCCTGTTTGGACTTGTGAAAATTTGTCTCTCTTATCAAACAGAAAATATAACATTTTATACTAGGACTTTTTAGTCCCGGCTGCAGCCCGGCTGATTGAGCTGTTTCATTTTCTCCATTTCTTGTGTCTTGAGACCCAAACTTTCCAATATTTTATTGCTGATTTCTCAAATAGCTCAGATTTCAATTGAAAGGAACGTTTTCCTTTCTTGTCAAGAATATCTTTCTGACAAGGGACTCATGTTCACTTGCATACAGCGGGCATTTCAAGAGAATTAAGTCTGTCATGAGGATTTGTTTGTTATGCACGAGGCAAAACTGCCTCCCAGAGGCAGTCTGTTCTGCAAAAATTTGTTGTGTGAGAGGTCCATTGGGCAGGGGTTGACTGTACTTCCTTGGGACTTTTGATCTATATATGCTGCCAATTTTCTCCAAAAGGAACAAAAAATCACTTGCTTATTTCATTGCTTCCTTTTCATCACATGTTTTAAAATTTTACCTGGGAAATGATAGAGATTTAATTAATTGCACCCATTTACTCGTATTTGTTGGAATGTCTGCATTTTATTGGATCAAAGTTCCCCATACACTTCAATGGAAACATTTTAAATCATTCTTCCTGCTTGGAAAAAATTAAAACCCTCCAAAAGCTCAATAAGAATGTTTTTCTCAATTTTAAAATGCAGAGAATAAATTCAGAAAAGAAAGCACACAAAGCTTGCTCTTATGGCATGGAAAACACTAAAAAAAAATAAGTGTACTTGTACAGCATATAGTATTGTAAACAGTTGATGGAAAATTTCCAAAAAAAGAAGCACACAATTAGTTCAATCTTATACAGCACTTTTTTCTACCGGACTCTTGCAAACTATAGTTCATCATTAACTCGTTTTTTAATATTCCACCGTTTTTGTCCAAATCATTTCTTACTACTGCTGACACGAAATTGTCTTACTGTTGAATCAAATTGGTAAGAGGCGTCCTCTGGGTCTGAGCTGCAGAACCAGGCAGAGTCTCTCATAGAACCCCTGAGTGAAACTGCTGCTGGTGCTTTCGGGAAACATGATGCGCTGTAGCCAGGAAACCCACAGTCCACTCCTCCCCATGGGTACTTGGGATTCACTTCACCAACTACAGACATAATGATGAAAAATTTTAATTGTGTTTCGCCGATGACAGAAAACTTATGAAGGTTGATTTTTGATTAATATTTGTTGAGTGCGGAAAACGGGTTTTAGTGAATCTTGTTGAGGTTTCAAGTGCCCCGAGGCTAACCTTCCATATGTTGATTATTTGGAAGTCTTGGTGATTTACATACACTCATTTCGAGATGCTCGGAATCCTTGAAAGAATAGAGATTCATTCCTTAACGTTCCAATATATTATGCGTGATTTACCCTCGATACTTGTCATGATTTTCGTTTCATTGTTACTCGCGTGATTTTAATATATTGGCTACCTTATGAAAAGAAGGATAGCTTTTTTTTTTATTCGTCGTATATGCTCTTGGAATTTTATGAACCTGAGGTCTGTTATCCAGTTTTATTTCATTTATTTCGATGCATCAGAAGTAAAATTATTTTATACAGTATCAACAGGAAGGTTTTGGAGAATATAACAATATTAGCTAATTTCGAGCTCATTCAAATCAAAGCCTCTCATTGACCCAATTTTACTCGACATCAAACATTTGAATCAGCATTGAACTTCTCGAATTTTTTTTCAAGCCCCTTGCTGAATTCTCTTGTAGGAACAATGCATTAAAAACAATCCTAACTCAAAGTCTTATTCCTCCTCGAACCTCCTCAACTCGAATTAACTGGAGGCCTTTTGGCTATTATTTTATTGAGAAAGGAAAGAGAAAAGGTTGAAAATTCAACATGAGGTGTTTTGGAACGAAGTGAAAGACTAAAATAGGCCAATGAACCCGTGCTTACAATTAATTCAGCATCTTGTCAACTCATACAAGAAGCATTTCAATGTCCAGAATATTGTCAGTTAAAATTTCCTGCAATTTTTTCTCAATTTATGCCCCTGAAAAACAAGCAGGTTGTTTCCCGAATACAAAATCTCCCTAGAATTCGAATTTTTGCTGGTCCCTCGAAACTTGACTTGAAAAATCAAAATTACAGTACAATATTTCAAAATAAATTCTCAGAAGGCATGCATTCCTTCTGGAATTCTTGCAACTTCTCATTTTTGGTACAGCAGAAAGCTTGTCGGTTGATGGAATAGCTTGGGTACTTTAGGTATTAGACCAAAACATGATCATCAAAAAAAGGGAAAATAAATTTGTGTAGCGAAGCGCCAACTCGTGCTTTCTGCTCCAAAATCTCACGTTCCAGCAAGAACGCCGAATGCGTGTTCCATTCATCCCAGAATAATCGATTCTGGCCGATCCGTTAGATCACGTTTACTTGCCAGGCCTCTCTTGTTCTTGAACATTCATGAGTAAGTTCAAATTTAAGAGTCTAAAAAGATTGAAGCATTTTGCCCATCAAAAACTGTACAGGTGTAAGAAGTACATACCGGTAATCCTCTTAATTCATAGTTTTCTTTCCTTTCCAATTTAAATTCAATGGGACTAAAAAAANTAAGTTATAGAGCCGAATTTTTTTGAGATAGAGAGCAATACAATGCATTGTTTTTTGTGGGAAATTGGCCATTGTTTAATTGTAAATTTGAGATATAGTGATTTTAGACTTATGAAGGTTTGACGTAATCGCAATGTGATAAATGTATTTAAAATTTATTTTTCTGAGCCATGCATTCAAACACTCAGAAAACTTAATTTTTGAACAGCAGAGAACTGTTTTCCTCAATATTGAAAGGAAGCAAATAAAGGATTTGTATGTCAGTCTATATTTTGGTTTGATCAAAGGTCACCAAAAGGCATCCTTCAATATGCTGATGAGACAATGCATAATAATCTTAGGCATAGGACTGCATATTTTTAATTTATCCATGACATGCTCGTGATATTATGTAAAGATACCTTTTTACATGTACTATGAAAACGTCACCTGCTATAGGTGTATTCTGATATATTTCGACCTAATAAGGAGTTTTGCAACATGCCAATCTTTTTTTGTTTGATCAAATGACACAAAAGTTCAGCCTGAGCTGGCAATCAACAGCCTAAGAACCTTTTACAGTAAAGGCCTGAATCATATTTTTCCCCAAGATCTTCTTTCTATGTTATTTTTTGGAAAAATGTCATCCTATTCCATATTAACTTTCCTCAAAAAATTGTGGAGCTGAGAGGAACTAAAATCTGTGGCTTTATTAAACCTTGGATGGTGGAGGGTTCCTGGTCATCCTGTGGCAAAGTCGGGATTTTTTTTGGGCAAGGGGCAATTCAATTTGACCAAAGGTCACTGAAATGCACCCAGGTTGCCAAAGCTTAATTCAGGAAAAATCCAGGCACAGAAAATCTCATGGTCTCAAGAAATCCCAGGGGGGAAATTATTTTTTTGAACCAAAATTTTCTGAAGGATTATAAAAAAACAATATTGGACTTTTTCTAGACTGAGGCCTTGGTTCAAAAATGATTTTTTTATTTGCTGCCCTCATGAGTACACAATTTTAGCAAAATATCCCAACTTTGCCACACAATGGTGAAACTATTATTTTTGTCACATTATTTCTGCCTCCTTGGGCTTCCAGTTTTGAAAAGAAAAGAAAAAACAACCCTGCTGGTTCCTCAACCCAAGGGTAAACTGGATCTGACCATTTTTTTTTGCATCTTTGTTCACTCTTTAAAAACACAGAAAGAGGTGAGATGCCTTCTTGAATCTTGCTGGAAAAGCTGCCCTCACTCAATGCCCGGCGGCCACAGGTAGGAAAAATCCTGGGCGATTTTAATTTCACCCAAGGGCCCTCGTATCCCGGCATTGACAAGGCTTCACCCCATATTGTTCTTTTATGGTCGCTTGTGTTTTGTCCTACTTTTTTTGCTGGCAGCGAGCACAGGTGGGCTCAGCGTGTACCCAGTCCTATAGTGTGCGAGTATATCTTTCAGAAGCAGTATATTTTCCCGATATACAGTATCTATTTAAATATATATATATATAAATATATATATACTGGTCCTATATCGAAGCAGATATTTATTCACGACCACCCCTGTAGTGCAGTCATTCATCCGCGGTGCTGTTTCTTCAACAGAAGAGGAATAATTTCCCATTTCCCCCCATTTCTTTTAATGTCGAAATAAGAGGGGAAGAAATGAAAGGAACGTACCGTAATCCCGGAAATTGGTTATATTCAAGAGTAAGGCTTCGAAGTTGTAAACATCTTGACCTCGAACCTTTTTCCATTATCAACGCTGAAAATATATCCAGAGAGGAAGAAAAATGGCTGCATCAACATGAGAAGTATTCGGTTGCAATCAATTAGGATTTGGTTTTACGTTTTATGAATTTTTGTGGTAAAAATGAAAAAAAAAATACTATAGCTCTAAGTACCGTATTTACTCAAGTACTGTGGCGGAATAATTCGGTACATTATCGTACCGTCCTCCGGTTGCGGGTACCGTAAAAACCTGCAATAATAAATGTCGATTAGTTTCAGGAATCCACAGGAATATTCCAGAACATTCTACTGGAGA